AGCTGGTGAGTATCAATGTTCAACTGCATGACATGATGGACAAAATGATATGAAAATGTTCTAAATCACTTAAAAAATACTAATAATCAATAAACGTGATTGTGTTGACACAAAAATTAATGTGTTTTTTATTAGTCATTCACGTTTGATCATCAATCCCCTGGCATCCCCAAATAACGTACATACATGACCACTGAGCATACAATATTAAAACATTAACACAATTGGTGCCATTTGAAGTACAAATCACACACAACAGCAAATAGAAAAAAGAACAACAAATAGCAATCAAATTTGCTTGTACTATGTAAACTAAATGTAACCTTTGCAGGTTTACAACTTCTTTACTTTACAAACAAGTTCATAAAGGGAGCATAATGGCAGGGCAATGAATTCGTGCTTTTAATTAAAACAATTTAAGTGTGATTCTGCTGGTAGCTAGCTGGTGCTTGTTGGGGAAATAAGTATCTGTAATTTAAGACCCCTCCAAATATATGAGGAAGTTAACAGCCCAAGCAGAGAATAAAACTGGCATTACGAGTTGCAATGTCTTTCTAATTTTAGAAGCACAAAGGCTAGCCTGCCAATTGTTTTGTTTTTTGAATTCCTTGTTCATGTACACGTACATTCAGCAAATATAAGCGAGAGAAGTTATTTTTTTAATAAAAGATTAGCCCTAACTGCAGCTTTAAATGTAATAATACATACCAATTCTATATGTGATATAGAAATATTAAATAGTTTTGCTCACAGAAACCCTTTTAGCAAAGATGTAATGAGAAATTAAGTTTGTCATCATGCCCTTTGCCACCTCTTCGATACAAAAACTCCATGGCATCGGACATAATAAGTAAAGCTGCCGCCATTGCCAAATGCCATTAGGAGCCAGCTAGGATGAGCCAGACATATGTCTGTCTCATTTACTACTGTCATGACATAAGTGACAGTTTTAGCCAAATAATGATAAAAAAAATGTTTTTTTTAGCCAACCGTTACCTACGCTGGTTTTGAAAACGAGAATTCAATTGAAACACCAGCCATTCCTTTAAAATTATTAAATTTTGTTATAACACAAAAATGAATCTTTTAGTGTTCTGGTACTTTCCTTTTACACTAAAATACAAATTTTAGGTGACATGAAGATACAGCCCTTTTCAGATGGACCAAGAAAATACTTTATATTTTTATGCGGGCATTAAATAATATATATATCTCCTACAGATACCTGGGCATAACACTTTGGAAACAAACTAACATGTGTTCAGGTAGCAGAATAGGTCTGCAATAGGGTCCAACAGCATCGGGAAGTTAGGCAGCATCCCACAGCATAGACTGTTTTAGAAAGAAACTATCATCAGGCCAGAGTCCCAGCACAGTATGCCAGGTTAAAACCATTTTAAGAAAGCTCTTTGTCCCCCCGTCCTAATAAACATCCTTAAGTAGTTATCTTTAGCATACAATACATACTTTATAGCCATCTGCTTCTGTAACTGTATACATGTGACATTTTTATGATGATTTGAAGGTGTTTATAATGGCAGGCAGTGTGGCAATTTGTTATTTGGTAGCATTGACAGTATGATTGTAACGATCTGAGCATTTACATGGTGTAGTTTCTGTGTGTGTGTGTGTGGTGTGTGTGTGTGTGTGTGTGTGTGTGTGTTGAGTAAGTGTTTGCAAATAAACGGGGCGGCACTAAGACAGTCCCTGTGTATGCACCTGTAATCGTATCTACAAGTATCGGTTATTCGTAATCTCTTTAACATTTTTGTCAATCCCTCACATGGTTCTGAATAAGGAGCTGTGTGTGATATTGAAG